TTTGACAACTACTTCGTGGTGTTGTCCAACGCTGGCCGTGGCGCAAGGGAGGCCGTGACGGTGATGCCGTCACAATGGCAAGCTAATCGGCCCAGGGCAAGTCTAACCCACACTGACAGCCTCAGGATTGGCCCGCATTCCCGCAGACTTCGCCAGCATCCCCATCAGCGACCTTGATTCAGGAACAGGAAGGGATCACCGACTTCAAAGCCGACCGTCGCCTGGGATTGAAAGGCCAATTGGGCAAAGTCAGAGGGGATGAACTTGGAGGATATGGGCGAACATGGTCTGCCCATGCTTGCTGCCCGTGCGAGATGGGTCGAGACGGTGTTCTGGGGTTGCGGGACAGTACGTAGAGTCATGAAAGTGAGGACAAAAGCCTTGGCTGTGTGGCCTCTTGGGCCCCGTAGCTGGTGTCATTAGTAGAGGAAATCAATAACACCCAGGTGTACCACCGGCAGTGGTATTCTGTGCCATGAACTTAAGGCTCAGCCCATCAGCAGAGTCATTCGGGCTTCATTCAACTCATCGGCCTCGACGGAGGCGTGTGGATGCCAGAGGAAATGGCGTTGGCGTCTTGTCGGCTATACCACAACAAAGATCTGACACCATTTTGAACTTCTCGGTGGCGATACAAACAGCTGGGCCTAGAATAACACGGCGGCGGCGGCTCAGTAGGGTTGTGGCGCCGCAAAGATCCCGCCAACCCAGGCTAGGCAGCCAATGCCGCTGCCAGACACGGGGCGTTGGATGAGGCGAATCGAAGTAGAAGCCCGACAGCTTTGTAATGTCCTTTGGAGGATGGAAGCGCTGTGTCGGAATTTCGCTGGAAGCGAAAAGCGCGGCCAGCTCAATGCGAGGGGGTTGGGTCTAGTCGATTTCTCGATGTCGTTTCTTTTCCCCCGAGAACAAATTTCAGACATCGGATTGAGAGGTGGTACGTACTATACACACCAGAGGCTGGTGTTTGCTAGGATGCTGGAGCATGTGTGGAGCAAAAAGACTGGCAGAAAAACTTTGCATCGACAAAACGCAGCCAACTCTGGGTAGCCGGGAAAGTGAAGCCTGAGGATGCAGCCAAGGAGTGTGGACTTGATGGTGGCAGGTGGGCTCGAAATGACGCAAGTCGCGATTCCTTATCCCTCCAGAGCATCCGTGTTAAACTTCGGCCTTATCGCCGATGAGGACTAGAGGCGTAGAGCCTGAGGACATCATCCCGTTCAACCTTGGAAACAAACCCACAACCCAGCATTCATGGTTGTGGAGGCATGGGAAGGAAAAGCCCACGCTCTGTACGTAGCACCCAGCGCCTGTCTACATGGACCAGATACGTCTCTGACTTCCGATCCCACGGCGCACTTATCGTGGGTGTGCTATATACTCTGCTATGACAACCACTGCAAAACAAACAGTAAACAGCGACGGCGTTAGCTGTTTGTTGTGGTGCACTGGCCCGAGATGGACCTTGGCGGATCGAGGGATTCATACTCTCTCCACCTCGGCTGGTGCAAAGAGGGTGCCAGTCGACCTACAGGTACGTTTTGTAGCGACAATGGAGCGAACCGCAAGTGGAGGGACAGCCGCTGCTATGGCCTTGGCCGCCCTGAGCACAGGGAGGGGTCAGGGACGGACAACCGCTGGGAGCTTTCCTGGTTGTGTGATGGAAGGCCTGGCAAGTCTTGACTTCGACCTTGACCTTGATAAAGGGGTTTGCTCGACACTCGTCATTCCACAGACTGACTGACAAGCCTCTGCAACCGCGACCCTGGTAGGCCATCGAGATCCCACTGATTGCTCAGCGACCTCTGTCGATCAGCTCCATACTATGTACCCGTAAGCTCTCTGTCGACGGCTGTGGCCCGGTTCGATTGCTGGCCCAGGCTTCTTCTTGAAAAGTCAGAATGCGATTGACACTTGGACCAGAACGATCGGAGCTTGAGCCAAACAATCGAGCTTGGATGGAACCTCGAGCGATGGTTCAAGACGTGTCCATAATCGTAAATGAGTCTTGTCCAATTCACCTCCATGGGAGTCTCTGGGAATGGGTGCAAATGATGGTAGCAGTAAAGCACATGCTAAAGTCGGGCTCGTACCGGTAGTTCAACGCCGGCCGACCACATCCACCGTTATCTTCATCGTACGGCCCCCGAACTGTCGTCACTTGTCGCCTTATGCCCAGAGTTGTGCCCCCCCCAGCTCAATCGTATTGTTCCATGTCTTTTCACCGGCTCCCATTCACTGAGAGCGGGCCACTATGCCTCGTCGGGAAGGAGGTAGCTACTCCTCCCACGCCACAGCGTTGCGTTGCCCATCAGCCTGGAACGCATCCACCAGCAGGGCAGAAGTTCCGACCAGTGTAGTTAGGAATACCTGTCACGAAGGTACGTGTAGGAGGGCTGGGCGAGCGGAAGCCAACAAAGACTGGATAATCCAAGTCGAACTCAGATGATGCCCAAAGGGGAATGAGGGGCCGCCGGGATGCTGTGAGCGCTTTGTTGCTTGCCCTGCGGATTCAGACGCGAAAACCACCCGTCCCTTTTCTGTCTCTCTCTCTCTCTCTCTCCCACTCTCTCTCGGCGGGGCGCAAAGACCGACAACGCCAGACAGGAGGGCAGTAGAAATGATCGGGATCCGTGGGCTGACGGCATGAAACTTTGTGGAAGCTCTCGATGCTGCAGTTGCAGTCGCGCTGGGGTTTGGCATTCTCCATCGTCGCGAGCGCTGGTAAAGTCTCCTTCCCGTTGCCTCTTTTTGCACTTCCTTATCCGTATCTGGTATTTGCCCGTCAAAGTGAGTTGCTCGAGTCCTTGGCTTGACCAGTCTTGGTTGTGGAGCTTTTTGTTGGCGATTCGTCACCTCATCCTACCTATTGGCTGGGGAAGCCACCGAGCCCTGTTCCTAGTGGACTCCGCATCCCAACCAGGCGATAGGAACGAGTAACCGAGAAGCTGGGAACAGCTGAAGAGACATCCCAGCCAGCGACAATATCAAGCAAGCAACCAAGCAGACCAAAGTTGGCTGAAAATTGTAACGGTAGCTGGCGTGTCCGACAATGCTGAGAGTCAACCCGAATATCGAAAAGGCTTAGATTGCCCTGGCAATGAATTTACGCCGTGACTCCAAGCACTTGGGATCTGAGCGGTCGAGTCAGGTATACACTAGACCAGTCACAGCCCCTCGATGTCGTCCCTTGTTTATCTGAGTTGTTGGATGGCTTGGCATTGAGTTTGAACTGAACCAAGGGCTCTATTCCTGTTGCAGGGAAACCCAAGTGAAAGGCGGTTCGTTCGGTCTTTGGTTCGCTGACAGACAGGTCTTGCCTTCTCCAAATGTCGGACAGAGAGCGCCCTTCTGGCGGAGGGGGAGCGATGCCCTCCCCGTTGTCGGTGTCAATGCACGGCGTAATGGCGGAATCATTGTGCATAATTAATGCATCGTTACAGCTCGTTGTGCAGATCCGCCAGCGTACCGCCCAAGGCCCCATCGTCCATCACCGGCTGTCAAGCCCACCAGGCTCTTACTGCGTAGAGCCGGTCTCAAAATCGGCAGAGGGAGCTCCATTGCGGTGGAGAGGATAAAGGGCCCAGAACACTGCTGTGACCCAGCAGAAGGTGCCGAGCGGTATCCGCACGTACAAGAGCATCCCTCCTCAACCGCGGCCCAAGGCGCATCGCCCAAAGCTGCGTACCTACATGCATAGTACATGGTACCAGAGACGCCCGTTGTCGGGTCTGTTGTCAGTGGCTGGCAAGTTGTGAGCGTCTCCCGGGAACCCTACTCCGGCCCACGGGGATCGCAATCCGTGCAGGGATGAGGCAGAAAAACCCAAGGGAGGGGAGGGCCCTTGAGCGAGCACGCTTGACCGCATCTGTCGCTCCGGTCAAAGCAGAGGAAACCGTTGGCCTGGACCTGGCACCCTGGTCGGCCAGGCAAGGGAGAGGGGTGGAGACCGAGCTGTTATCCCTGGCCGCGCAGAGGGAAACGAAACAAAATTGGGGTTAGTGTCCATGGGGCAACAAGTGGCAGTGCCAAAAGCAGAGCGTTAAGTAGGAAAAGGCGGCGGAATCAAGGCCGAAGGGGCGGAGAGGCCACGATGCCAACGTCGACGGGTGGGTGCAGCGAAGACGTTTGACAATGAGTGATGCCCGGATAGAGAATTGGGGAATGTGAGAGGAGACACGAGCGAGAAAAGAGAGGGGGAATGGAGGAGGGAAGATGGAGAGGGAATACCGGAATGGGGGCCGGATCCTGCGGGTACCTCAGGTAAAGCGGAAGCGACCATCACTGTGGCTCCCCGACGCTTCCACCCAGCAAATACTATGTACTTTGATGCATAGCAGCCACAGAGTAGTGTACACTACACCATGGCGGTCACCACGGTATGGTACAGGTCCATCTGACGGGCAGAAGATGGGGAAAGATGGCCCTGAACCCTGCTCCCACTCCCTGTCTTTGTCCGTGAGCTACCAGCGACTGGCAACCGTGGTGCAGAGAGGCAGAGAAGGCTGGAATGGCTACTGTAGCAGTGCAGTCCAGTCGATTGGTGAATTGACGGATGAATTTCTGGTGTTGTTTGTTTCGAATGTCGGCCGAGACCCGTCGCCAGTGGCATCGTGCTTCTCCCAGGTTGCAACTTGACATGACGCCAGGTGGTATCCGCTGCAGAGAGGCTGCCCGGTTGAAGACTCTTTGGGGTACGTACACTCGCGTGGTTGGCATTCAACGTGTGCGTGGTGGTGACCGTCTTCCACACTACAAGCCGTCCCGGTGGACTCCTCCCGAAGACTAGTGGGCTAGGTAGCTGCGAGCACCACGCTCTGCTGTGCCGTTGCCAGAGCAGTGACGCAGTCCACTTTGGCAAGTGGTTTTAGAATCGCCTCCCTCTCGTCGGAGAGTCAGGTCAAGGTTGAACCGACAACCGCGGGAAAAAGAGAGAGAGAGAGAGAGAGAGAGAGAGAGAGAGAGAGAGAGAGAGAGAGAGAGACGTCAGCCCGTCTGTCTTAATCGATGCCGCTGGTGTCTTGCAAGTCGGGACCGGAGTCAGCCCCATGAACTGCCAACGGCGGCGCTGTCTGGCCATTGGGTTCTGCTGACTCTGTCGTCTCTGATGCCTCTGGGTCTTGTCAGACTCTGCAATTCTGCGATGTACGTACCTTTCGTCACCAGACCGGCAAACCCCCCGATCCACATCAACGTTGAGAGGTCGCCGGATACGGACATGGGATTGTGGCTCCAGCATAATGCACGACGCAAAACCCTGAAAGGCTTGGGCGTTCGGGGGCCCTCTCTTGGGCAGAGAGACCCCAAAGGACCCTCCCCAGCGACCCAGAAGCAGAGGCGGAGGCAGAGGCAGAGGCAGAGCGGTAGACTGCCGGTGACCCAGAAGATGAAAGACATGGAGACGGCTCAAACGACCCCTCCACTCTCCTCCACCCCACGCCTGAGCTTAGTCGACGGCGCAACACGGACCAGGAGGGAGGGTTCAAGCTGAGTTTGGTTTAGAGCGGGTATCGGACAAGCTTACCTTAGCTTAATGCTGGCAAAGAGGGCGGAGAAGAGCACACAAAGAAGGGACTAATGCCTTCTTTGCCTTCTGGGACTGCTGTGGACCGGCAACTGGAGGGAGCAGAGGGAGGGAGGGAGCTAGAGACAGAGAGACGAGAGACGGGTTTTTGGCCGTGCTGAACCAGAGACAAAGGAAGAGGGCAAAATGCGAAACCGACCAGGCTTGCGCCAATGCGAGAGCAAGAGTGCTGTTGCAGCCGTTTCCGTGTCTGGCCGTCCCGGGAACGCGTCCTGGGGGCAAAAAGGCGCGAACGAAGCGAAGCATGAGGGCTTCTGTCGACGAGGAACGACCGAGGGCAAAGGCTGCGCCCATGTCAATGACTGGGGGTGATCATGCCCAGTGTGCCGTGTGGAGGTTGAATAATGAATCCGGCCTCGCCCTTGTCCTTTCCTTGTGTGTTCCTACCTCGGGTCGATGGCTTAAGCGTTCCTCCTTCCCCAAAGTATCAAATCTATTCCCAGGGTAAAATTGGAACAAGGAAGGAAGGAAGGAAGGAAGCAGATGGATGGAGTTGGGTTGCCTTGGGTGGTAGTTTGGTCTACGTAGTGTATTCCCTTCCTTCCGTCGCGCCTCGTCCCAGTCCGCTGCTTCCCTCTCGTCGTTGACTGACCTCACCTTGTACCCTTGTACCTCCCCTTTTGGTCAAGACAGGGAAAGGGAAAAAAAAGAGCTCGCAATGCAAGGAAGGCGTCGAAGGTACGTATTCCCCGACAGAGGCCAAAGCTTCTCACCCCGTAGGCTCGTTTGGCAAGCAAGCGATGCCCTTCCAAGGCTGCAGTCAGTCTGCACTCTGCATTTTACTACGTTTTACTGCATAGGGTAGCAAGGCGTTGGACTGTCGAAAGTGGGCAGGCACGCAGCCTGTCCATTGTGACTTCCCTTCCTCCTCCTCCTCCTCCGCCCCCTCCAAAAAAAAAACAACAACAACAGGAAGAAAGTTAGCTTGAATCTTAGGTTGGGTTCCCCCCCCCCCCCCCCCCCCCAAAGCCTTCTCATCCTAGCTCCCGGCCCCTCGACCACACACCCCAGTCTTTTGCTTCCCACACCCCTGCCACCGTCCATCCAGTCAAACCCACTTTCGCTGTCCACATCGTCCTCGCAGCTCGCTCGGTGTCGTCCCACTCTCTCGCTCTCTCTGGCTGTTAAGGAAATTCTCACACCCTTGTCCGCCGTCCACGCCCACCACCCACATCTCCCATCCACATCGACCCTACTTACGCAGTACCTTGTCTTCCTGACCGACCGTCCTTGCACCCGCGCGGCCATACATTTTCCTCGCCCACCCTCCTTGTGGAAAAAGCACCTGGTAGCCCGTTCTTCGTCCTGTCCCTCCGTCTCTTCTCTCACGGCACAAAAGCATATTCCCAGACATAAGCCAGCGCTCTTCGCCAGTCGTTTGACTTTGTTTGCTGTTGTCCGACACATCAACCCACGACACCTCATATATTGTCGACCGCCTCACGTTGTTAATATCGCGCCTGTTGCTTTACGAAGGGCTTTACTCCCGCGGCCCTTGAATACCGCTGTCGTTGCCTCACGTGTGCACCCTGCAGCAAAACCCGGAGCTATCAACTCGAGTGTCGCATTGGGTCCATCGTCGTCTGCTTTGATTGGAAGAGGAGGCATCCGCACCGAGGAAACAACAACGCACGCATACACAAATTCCTGCTGCCTCCCCAGTATCAGCACTCTCGCCCCAACCACCACGAACCAGGCCGAGGTTCCTGCACCGCAATCGTACACGTGGGACGACTTACCGCCCTTGACAAGCGACCGGCTCCAGCACTTGATCCGATTTCATTGGAGAAGAGCAGGGGATTTCTACAGCGGTTTAGAAGAGTCATCGGTCACGACAACCATCACCGCCTTGGACGAACACTTTGAAGCACCACCACGTCCACGTCGTCGTCTGGGCGCGACAAAACACAAGACAGGAAGCAGAAAGAACTACGAGAATGTGCAGTTGAAAGATCCGGCTGACAGAAACCATCCGAGTGGCGTTGACGACCGACCAAGTACATCTCAACAGTACTTACACCAACCCTCAACTCCAACACAACCACCCCACGACAACAACGGTAACATTACACAACTTGATACAAGTACTCAACGGACCTGTGCCTGGCAATGACAGAGGACTAACAAAGCCTTGCACTCCTCTTGAGTTGACCTCACTCGCCGCAGTGGCTATTTTATTCAAATCCTCCGCTTACCCCACAACATTCCCCAAGGTGCAGCAACGCGACCACGACTCGAACTTCGTCATAACTGCTTGCTCTTACCCAACCACCATCTTGCCCTTTTCCACACTCTACTCCAACGACAATACCTGAAAACACCTTCATCGTTACAACCCCCCCCGAAACATCTCTCTGCCCAAGGCAGAGCAGCTCGAAGCCGAGGCAGACACCATGTCGCCCAAGCTGAAGCCATTGTTGTTGCCCCAGCTCGTTGAAGAGCGCCGCAAGTTCGAGGAACAACAACCCGACCTCCCAGAAGGCGACCTGGACCGCCAGTACGTCTACTATACGACAAACTCCTCCTCTTCAGACGTTGCATCACCCGTCACCCCGACTTTCTCAACTCGAGGGCACCTACGCTACTCGAGCTCGACCTCCTCTCTCGATCTTCCCCTACGCTGTTCAACGACAGCCCGTCATCACCAACTTCAACAACCCATACCAAGTCGTCGAAACGTCCGCTTCCTGATGTTCAAGAAGAGCCTGTGGAACGCGATGAGCTGGAAGAGAGTACTATCCTCGCTGAGCCGTTTGATCTATATAACTGCTTGTGTAAGTTTATGTAGAATGCTTGCAAACGACTGCCTACTAATACTTGACTGCGTAGGTGACGAGCCGTGCATTCACCATGAGAGCTCCGAAACACTTCACAGTGTGTACCCGGCCGACTTCGATATCGACTACGACTTGGGGTTTGCGAGCGACAGCGATTTCACTGCGACCCTCGAGCGGAAGCGAAGTGGCACCGAGTCGCCCTTTTCAGGCTTGGCTACACGCCTAGGAACCCGCTTCCCTAACTTGTCGCGGTGGAAATCCACGACAAAGCGGTCACAATTGACTGCTTCGCCCACCCTGGGGTTGACATTCGAGAACGCCCACCCTGTTTCTTGCGCAGCATCAAGCCGATCGTCTTCCCTGTCTGGTCCCTCGCGACACATGGATAGCATCAACGAGCCCCCAGTTCCTACTCCGGCTACATCCTTCTGGGAAAGCAGCGAGAGCGTGGAGACGCCAGCCCCCATCGACATCGAAAAGGCCAACAACGAGAGGAGCAGCATCGAGCGTGACCGCGCCTTGGCAACGACGCCTCTGCTCCCTCCTCTTCTTACAACCCCACCCGCCGAGGCCCCTCAACCTAGTCCTCTCCAGTCTCCTACCGTTGCGCCTTTAACCGTTTCAATGGAGATCCCGCCAACCCAGCCGCTTTCCCACCTTCCTACGCCTGCACTCAGTACAAGGCCATCTGTCTCTTCATTCCGCCATATACAGCCGTCCCAAGAACTCCCTATTGGTTTCCCGTCCATCGTACAAGACCACGACGAGTGGTCTGACCGTCTTGGGCATGCCAACTTCACCATCACGCCCCAGCCTTACCAACCGGTGGAAGCTGATATGGAGACTCTTCGCCACTTGCGTGCAGACTGGGAAACTGCTCGTATCAACTACACAAAGCACTTAGTACGGACAGGCGAGAACTATGGCGAGACGTCAAAGATCTACGCGCTGACTGAAGCAAAGTGGGCCGAGACAGAAAGGAACTGGCGCACGTTCCACGAGCAGACAATGGAATACATCCTGGCCGCTAGCAAGACAACGGGCACTCAGCGATCAGGCGTATCTCGCAGCCGCAGCCGCGGGCGTGTTCGCGCGAGCAGCGGAGGCTCTGCCCTTATGCGCCGACCTGCCAACGATGATGTCTTCGCTGGCGAGCAATGGCGGCGTCTCGAAGACGGCTTACCTACCGCAATCCCTCGTCTTGTTGATGCCGAGGGCAAGTTTCCTGAGCGCGGCGATGAGGACATTGTCGGGCCCATGGAGCGCGACACCAAGATGATCCGCACTAGGAGCGAGGAGCGCAAAAGCGGTCGGTTCTGGCGCAACCTGGCCGAAAAGGTTGGCATCCGCAGGTGAACCAACCGGTTGCAGAAGCTTCCTTTATATACCATCTTGCGACCCCAGGGGGTCCTGAGATCTACCATTACGATTTGATGATCACCAAACAAACCGACAATTGATTGTCGCTCAACATTGGCGGTCATTGCTCTTTCCTTTCGGGCCTGTTCTTTTCGAGATACCCGACTATCGTCGCTCCTTTACCAACACGCCTTGGCTAGGCCACGTCTCTTACGACATCTTACGATCCAATGCTTTTATCTTTTTTCTGTTTGCTTGGACTTGAAGATCCTGACCTGGACCCTTCACAAATCTTATTGTCTTATTTCTATTATTTAGTATCCTCATTGTCCAAAACAGCACGGTGCCTCCGCCGCGCTCGAGGCCTGTAGATACTTTCCATTTTAAACGGAGGAACATAAGGAGCCACTGGAAGGAGGGGTGTTCAAAAAGCAGGAACAAAAACCTTAGACTTGGGAAAAACCGAACCGGAGTTACAGACCTAGGGCCACGGGATAATGTGGCAGCCTGTTTTGTGTATTTACTTGCTTGAGCGTATCACAGAAGTGAGACTTGGGTCCAAGGTAGGCCCGAGCCTGGCTATCTTGTACAGACTTGTTTCTTGTACAAAGACTCCCTGTTCGGGAGAAGACTTCAGCTGAGGTCGTTTTGACCCAGCCTCCAGCCTTAGGCTGAGTTTCGAGTGGTAGTAAGCCGTCGTATGATGGCTTGAAATAAACTACTTGACAATCATTGCTTTTTTCACCATGGGACTTCAACGCTCGTAATTCGTCTCATCCTTCATGCCCCTCTCACATCCGTACCTCGTATGAAGGCCGACCCTCCTTGGTTCGTAGTCAGCTCTTCGCAGGCCGCCAGCTATTCGCGAGCTGGGGAATCACGACATGCTGGCCCGACCCCCTTTCCTTGTGCAATGCGTCGCGGACGTGACGGATGCGACGCCATCGATCGCGGGGGATGGCTCGCGGCTCTATTGCGTGCATCCCGCGCAGTCGTCCGTACCTGCAAGTAAGCCCTATCAATATCAACAACTGCCGACTTATATACGTCGAACCCTTGTACGCTCTTTTCCTTCCTCCAACAGGGGTCAGTTCTCATCTGTTGCTGCCAGGCGTGCGCGTGTGCACATTGCAGGCTCTCAGCAGAATCCCCACTTCCGCCCTCCGCGCTTCCCCGGTTCTTTCGTTTCCTGTTGAGGTGGGTTGATTTCGCACCCGCGACTGCTGCATGCGGTGGGGGTGGGAAGTTGGAGATATATTGGGTTCCCGGTACTTGTGAGAGCGTGGGCGAGTAGTGAGCGATCGGGGGGACGTCTGGTGAGGTCGTTGGCTTCCGGCGCCACCCGTTTCAGATGCAGGTCGCCGCGAATTTCGCGGGAAATCGTTTGGGGAGACGTGGAGGTTTTGGAGACTTGGATGGGAGGATATAAGGTCTTTGGGGGAAGGCAGACAGGGGGGCGTTGGGGGGTAAGGGTGCTGTTTACAGCTCGCTGCCGGTTCCCATTTGCTTGCCTTTTCTGGCCCATAGGGCTCTGGGGCTTTGCGCGTCGCTTACGATTGTGGTGCATATCTCGTCATGCAGAAGGCCTTGGGTCTTTGGTGAGCTCTGCGAAGGGGGGTGAGATGGTTCCGATGGAGGTGGTGGCGCAGGCTACAGTGCGGTAGCAGGCAGACGAGCAAGGAAGTCTGCTCGCTTCAGAGTTGCCGGCATGCATCTGGCTTCGGGAGGGGAAGATGAGGGGAGCAGGTGCCGGAGGGCAGGTGCAGGCGGACTAGAGGAGTCTATGACGCGGGAGGTGAGATCCGGGGACGGTGGTGGTTGTTGTGAGTGGTGTAGGTGGGGAGTGGTCGCGGCCACTGTCGCTTGGTGCTGTTCGATGGCGGGGGATGCGCGGGACGTTGTTTGGATGAGAGATACGGGGATGGACATATGCACCTTGCCGCATGGAGGTTTCGAGGGTGAGTGGGGTTGGCGGAAGTCGTATACTCGAGTTCTTTGAGTATTGGCAGGATTGTTCGGACCTTGCACCAGAAGTGGTGGGCGGAGGGCGTACGGAGGATGGAGGGAGACAACAAGCGGGAAAGGTTCACAAAATGGAAAATCTGAGCGAGGGGAGAGAGACACGCGGGTGCGATGTGGCGGACGGGGACGGGGGAACGGGCAGGTGCATTGCCGGCTTTGCGGGCTGCGGGCTGCAGCCTGCCTTTGAAATGTCGGCGCCGGGTTGCAAGATTGTACTAGGAAAATGGTTGTTGTTTTGGGGAAGGAGGGAAAGCTACTATGGGAGAAGGATGGGATGATTGACGTCCACGTAGGTATCTGAGACTTGATCGCGATTGGGGAGATCCTCGGAACCGATGGTCGAGGTTGATGCCGATGCCGGGACGTGGGTTCCCAGTCGGTGCGCATCTCGACTCCGGACGGGGCCGGGTATGTCGGGACACCGGGTATGGAAAATATGGGTCCTTCGTGCCGGTTAACGGTGTGGATCAGCGGCATGAGGTCCGGCTCTGGATCGGCGAGGGATGGGTCCCCGTTGCCGCCATATCTTCTCATCCTGTTATGTTCAATGATGTCCTTCTAGTAAACTACATGCCGCAGATCGCGCCATCTTGTAGCGAGATGACAAATGACGCGGGCGAAACAGTTGGTTGAGTGATTGTTAATGTGCTCAATACTCGAAGATGCCATGGTGGTCATAGCTCAAGCGGAATGCAAAGTCCGTTCCAGCAACAGTGGCCTGGCAGACTCCAGGAAGGAATCATGTATAAAAACGGGATCAATGCCAGCATCTTTAAAAATATATACCGACTTAACCATATCCAAATAGATTGTTCATAATCACAGCTTCAGTCAACTTTGTCTAAGGATTCTCATTTAAAAAGAAAATGGCTCCCATCCGTGTCGCCCTGATCGGCTTATCAGCCAGCGCCAAAACATCATGGGCTGCCGAAGGCCACCTCCCATACCTCCTCTCCACACGCGGACGCCAGCACTACACCATCACCGCGCTTCTCAACTCCAGCACAAAAGCCGCCGAAGCAGCCCGTGCCCATTATGGACTTCCTGACAACGTCAAAGCCTACGGCGACCCGGAGGCTCTGGCGCAGGATCCCAATGTCGACCTCGTGGTCTGCAATACCCGCGTCGATACGCACTTCGACGTCGTTGCACCGTCTGCAAGGGCGGGCAAGGCGATTTATGTCGAGTGGCCTCTTACCGAAGACCTCAAGAGCTCGGAAGAGCTCGCAAGACTGGTTGCGCAATCTGGCCAGGGCAGCATCATCGGACTACAGGGGCAGGTGACGCGAGTCGTGCTGAAGATCAAAGATGTCGTTGAATCTGGACGTATCGGAAAGGTTCTGGGGAGCGACATCGAAGCTTATGGGAACCTCCTACCACGGGACGAACTCCCCGAGGGGCTGGCGTATTTCGCGGAGAGGAAAGTGGGGGGAAATCCGGTCACGATTGCGTTTGCGCACATGATTGACTATGTCCACCATGTCCTCGGGGAGTTCGAGGGTGGCGGAAAGACGTTTGATAGCCGGTTGCAGATCCAACGCCCTAAAGTCAAAGTCCTTAGCAACGGCACGGAGCGGTTTGTTCAGTCTGACGTACCGGACTTCATAGCTCTCCACGGGGCGCTCCAGGGTTGCAATGCCATCGACGGCGCGACTCTCGCCGTCCGCTTCCGAAACGGACCGCCGTTTAAAGGGCGGCCTGCTTTTGTGTGGAAAATCGTCGGAGAGAGGGGGGAAATCGAGGTCGAGAGCCCCTCCGGGCCGTATTTGCATTCGGACTCGTATGGTAAGCCCATTGTGATTCGGGTCCATGATCATGCAAAGGACGACGTGGAGGAGGTAGCTTGGGGTTGGGAGGATTGGCAGGAAGAGTTGCCGGTTCGTGCGAGGAACGTGGGGGAGGTTTATGAGAGGTTTGCGAGATGGGTCGAGGCTGGAAGGGGGGATGTTGAGGAAGGTGGGCGGTGGCCTACAATTGAAGATGCCACCTTGCGAATGAAGGAGTTGGAAGCTCTGTCGCAAGGATTCGGAAAGGTATCTGGATGATTGTGATTACCAAACAGAAAACAGGTTCATGTGTATCGGGTACATAAGAAAGGGGTGTTTTGCAACTTCATGTAGTGGCTCGAGTGCGCGAATCTATTAATATCTACTGGAGGAGCATCAGCTACCTCTTAAGAGGTTCGCAAGATCAATGAAATTCCGTTCCAAAACTTGGACACATATTTCAAACTCCTTAGATTAGTTAATATCAACTGTTACGTTGCTCGCTCTTGATGCGTTGAAGTGATTGGTAAAGGCTTTCTGCAACTTCGTCGGGTGGGTCTTTGATTGTGTCTGCCACCAGAGCCACTGCCTCTTTGACAATCTTCCTGTCAACGCTTGCGCCGTGGTTAATGAGCAATCTCAACGAAGGCTCCCACTCTATCCAAGTGTCTTCTGCTTCTACCGCTCTCCTGAGTCTTAACTCGCTTTTCATAATTACCACAACATAGCTCAAGATAGCTCCCCAGACAGTCACTCGTCCATATACCCGAAAGTTAACGTCGGCACCCTTATTAAGGCAGCATGCAATCATCTCTAGATGCGGAGGAAACTGAGCGATTGCATCGAGGAGCAGAGGCCGCCACACGGGACGATGCCGTCCAATTGAGCCTCCCGTAAGTTTCGCAATGAGCTTGGTGGTTAGGCTGACTCGCTGGCGCCAAAGACAAGGGCTCATTCTCTCCAAGCATCCAGCTGAAGCTTTGCGCCTGACGTACTCCACCACACCACTCTGCGCCGCGAGTGAGAGAAATGGGACGCCACCGTCAATTGTTGCTGCCCCTATAGACCGAGTTTGCCGATCGAATATAGCTCTTTCCAAGTTTTTGCCACCATATTCGTCGCGCAGAATACCCCCACCGTCAACCTTCTTCTGTAGCACCAGGTCTAGACTGTCCAGCAAAGCTATCATACTAGTTGAGTTTTCTGGTCGGGTTTTGGAAGCTGCATAAAGACATTGGATCGCATACATCAACTGTGGACCGTGTATACCGTGAACAAGTCTGGTGGGGAAAGTCATCTTGAGAATCGAGAGATTTGCAGAACAAATGTAAAGCTGACAGTCGAAGGTCTCAGTGGCGGCTTGAATTTTCGAAAAAACCGCTGGACTTCTGATGTAATCTTTTACAGTTCTGTGGAGATACTGAACAGATCCGTGATTCCGAGGGAAAAAGTGCTTTGCTAGAGATCTGAAAGATGTGACCTCAAGGAGCCCTTTACATCTACCATTAATTCTCCGTCTCATCGTCTCAATACGGATTTGGATTGCACTATCATTAAGTTCCCGAAGTCGAAGATTGATAGGGTATCTGACGTCTTCGTCGGCGAAAGAGAAGAGGAGAGCAGAAGGGGGCTCATCGAATGCTTCCATGAGCCAGAAATATTGGGCGGCATGTTCGAAATAAAACGGATCCAGAGACTCAAGAATGACGCTGTATAACCTTTCTAAGTCCGGCGGCAGTAGATCGAGCCGTTTCTGTATGTCGACGACTCTGTCGTCGTGTTGCAGGCCAGTGATAAGCGACTGGACCACCAGACTGACCCAGAGGAAAACCCCCGAGGACTTCCGTATTATGTTCTCAATCAATCCACTTGCATAATTAGGTTCTCTTTGTGACAGTCGTCGAAAACCTTCATCGTTTTCAAACTTGTTGGTCACGAATGCCTTGATATCTGTATACGTCAGGTCTTCGAGCTTGAGACTCGGTCTGTGCTGAAAAGCATCTTCAAACACAAGCCAAGGACGACTCGAGACGCAGAGCTTAACATTTGGATGAGATGTGATGTCTTGAAACAACTTGATAAGTGTGTTCAGTTCTCCGGAGAACTCATCAAGTCCGTCAACAAAGAGGCAGATACTGTTATCTTTCTGCGCCTCTCTGATGACGAGAGAAAACAGTCTTCTCAGGTCTTCTTCGGTTCGGTGGAGAAGCTTGCCGCTGAACAGGGACATTGCCTCCCAGTAGATTGGAGCTACACGAGGGATTATTTCGGGGCAATTCTGCAGGATCTGGAATACAAGGGACATATATAAACCCTTTGGTGATGATTCCATCTTTGAGCCAGAAGCCCAGAAGTAGAAGGATGCGATGATCAAAGATCGATCCTTAGCCCATTTCAGAAGGTGTGGGTAGCATCGTCCCTGTGCGATTTTTGATGGAGGAGCGTCGTCTTCTCTGGGTTCGTTGTTAACTGAAGCTTCGGCGCTGCAGATGAACTTCATCAGAGTAGATTTCCCCGAACCAGCTTTCCCCGTGATCCAGTAAAGGGAAACATCGGATTCGAGCCACTCCTTGAAGTTCGCCCACTTCGCTGTCTTTTCTGAAAGAGGCTCGAATAGCCATTGAAAGGTATCTTCGTGTGCCTTAATGATCCTTAGATATCGATCATCCATGGCATCATAAACAAGATTGGCCAAGAAGGCAGCTTGAAAAACTTCTTCGCGAGGGCTTGATTGATCGGCCATCGGATAACCTCCCACAGCAACTTGGGCCGTGCTCTCTGGAGTACTGAGAAGTCGTCGAATGATGGCATCTCGCAATCTTTGAGCACTGGCCATCTGTTCTCCAGGTTTGGCGTCAAGCGTGCGAGTAATAAAGGCAATTACCGCGTCGCCAGGCTCATCCCACGAAGTTTCTTCATCTCCTTCAACATCACCGGATGAAGACACGTGAAGTTTTCCGGTGCTTTCCTGAATGATACCGAGCTTCTGAAGAATGGTATTTTGTTGCTCCTTTGATTCTGTTGCATAATCCCTGTATTGAAGAGGCACGGTCAGCAACTGCGGCACAATTGATTGAGCAAGACGTGAAGAAATGGACCAGTTGCTTCCGAGTAAATCTGAGATCCGTGTGACACTACTATACAAAAACAACGAAAAGCCACAATTTCTTACCATAGTGAATGAAGAACAGCGGTCTGAAGACCCTGGCTAAAGAGCATAACATCGCTTCTCAGGTCTTCAACCTTTTTCTGATTCCATGTTGCCTTGAACGCAGTAGTAACGGTTTCCCACGCGGTCCTGTTGTCTATCAGACCAATACGATCCAGGGTTCCCTATATCTCAAAGAACTTCTTAGAGCATTCCTCAGATACGTGTAAGATTTCTGTTTGTTTCGACGAAAGTGCCGTGCGCTCAGCTTCGGATATGTGCAGCCGCTGCGATGAGGCCTGCTGGCGAGTCACAAGATTGCGCAGCTCACGGAGTTCGTCATGAGCGCTTCTACCAGCACGATGGATCTTTATGCATTTGTCAATAAACCTCGTAGCGAACTCGGTAAATTGAAGGACGTTGCCAGCAAGAGCAAAAGCCGCAACAGTCTCTGCCATACTGAGTAGAGCCAGACGTGGTCGATGCTGGGAGAATCTTGAGCTGAAATAAGAACGATGGGGATGGGGGCGGGGAGAAGGAAAACACGTGTTCGTAGCCTTATCTATACTTCTGCCAGTTGTCATCGCCCAGCCTCGAAACCCGTTAAGTAGGTGTGAACATCAGGCTGCCGATATTACACCGCATCGGTCTTGTGGCTGTGCGTATGCATCACGCCCCATTCGGTGAGGCTAGACTGTCAGCTATCTTTTTTCCAGCGCTAGCAAATGCAAGGGGAAATATGACAGTGTAAAATAGTGAAAAGATTGGGAAAACGGGGATAGAATGATAGAATAAGGGGCATATAATGATAGAAGCATAAGAGTATTGATGGAAACCGGTATATAGACTAATCACTACGATGATAGAATAGAGGATTAAGTAGACATGTCGTTAGAAATAGCCAAGATTGGCTCTACTAACTCTTAGTAGATCGCTGCCTGACCTTTATTATTCGCCAGGGCAACTCGTAGATAGCATACGTCACAAGTGAGTATGAGGAACTCATCCCGCCAAAAGATTTCCCAATTCACTATCTGTTTGAAGCAGAAAAATTATCACGATCACGGGAAATGGAGAGTCAAACTTTGCGAGCAAGATCATCGAATAGAATATGGAACCCGTATTGAAACAGAAAATAAGCAATTAAAAAACAGATTCTTTAATCCTCAGCCACATCCCCCATCCCTTTGTTACACCGACTGTTTTCACATAAATCCTATCGCAGCCATTCTGATTGGGAGAATTCTGACCTTTGTATGATATACTTTGGAAGCACTGTCGTCTTCGTGGACGTTTGGAACGCCCTTAACAACCCGACTCTATATGACACTCTTCGCCATCATGAGTGTGACAGAAGCGTAAGGCCGCTATTGAAAAATCGCCCATGACAAGCGCCACTGCCGCTAAACCTCGGGTGAGATCTTGTTTAAGGGGCTAGATTGAGACCGGCAGACTGTCCATAGGTAGTTTGTACCTAAATTACCGGCAGTGGAGGTCGCCGTTGTCTCTCAGGTGGGTGCAGCGGTTGCTGTCGTAGTGGTAGGCAAGCTAAGAAATATGTTCCGTCAGCGTAGAACATAGCTTTGACAGCAGTTGAAAGTGGTGACTCACGTTGATGTATCCGCCCTCAGAGTGTGTGTAGAATTGGTTATTTCCCTCCATATACATACAGTCGTAGCTGTAACGAGTATTAGTAGATGCTTAAGTGGCCTGAATTGAATACTGCTCTCTTACTCGGTGTTGAGAGCACCAAGAGTGAGCTTGGCACTGGTGAGGCCGATGATTCCCTGGGGCGTTGAAGGCCATAGCCCTTGTTGTAGCAAATTGCGGCAGGATACTTGACCCGGTCGGGGTTGTTATCCCACATGCGCTTGACAGTGTTCTTGGTAAAATTCTCGCGAACCTAGAGAGAGAGTCAGACATCGTTGTTTGAAACATTGAAGAGATGAACAGAATGTGTTTTCTGCATGCTTACCGGGTTCCAGAAAGCCATGGAGGCAAGACCACCAATAGCGGCATGGATAGCCGCAGTGACAACAGACGCAAAAACGTTGATAGCGGGGCCGGCAATGACGGCGACAGCTGGGCTAACGCGCTTCTGCAGAGCTTGCGTGTCCTGTCCTTCAGGGGCTGGCTCGACGACGAACTTTCCGTCCGCACCCTTATGTCCCGTGAGCGAGACGGAAACACCGGAGGGTGGAGCATCGGCACGCTGCTGAAGGCTCTCGACGGCCTCGAGAGACATGTCGTCACCAGCGGCGGCTCGGTCCTCGATGGTTTCGATATCAACCTGGGGCAAAGCCAAGGCATTGACAGTAGAGGCGCAGAGAGCAACCTGAAGAAGAGTGCCAGCGGAGAAACGCATCGTGGAGAGGTTTGAAGTAAAGAATGTTTGGTTCTGTAAAGAATGAATGTTGAAACTTGGAAAGATCGAAAGTAGACAGTGAAGTGAGCGTAGAATGATGAAGTAGTGGGTGAGAACCATTACTTTACAATGCGCATCGCGGCTCTTCTTATACTTCGAGGTGAATCGATAAGGAACGCAGTCTTTTTACCTTCTCGAATATCTCTCTCGTCTGTTGCTAGCGTGCCTTGATGTCAGTAGCAACTCGACTTTAGCTCTATCACTGACTCGTCTCTTAATCAATGTGTGGCTTGGGCCAAGAGATACAGCCTCGCAGCCTCATCAACAGGTCTCGGTCACTTGATGGGCAATGCAATATGCTATACCCTAGTATACCAATTAAACCGCTCCCCAAGGCGCTCTTGGCGAACTGAAGTGTGTACCGGAATCTTCGGGTGGCCGCTAGGGGTCAATTGCAAGTTACGATCCACTTTACCTTATAGATTCTTAGAGAGTAATCTGTCTGGTCCTGACACTCTGCCATACTTACATGCACACGTGTTCAGGAGGCCTAATGTCGTTAAACGCAGCTGACTTATTCAATATGTTCAACTAGTCAACAGACTTCACTCTACACTTTTCGTTTTACAATCAATGTTTGAAGTCTTCAAACCACGTATCCCAACAACACAATGAAGGAACTTTGTCTTTAACACATTTCTATATTCCTCAATGTTACGCGTAGTACGCTGCCGCTCAAGTCGAACCTGATTTAAGTTTTTATGATGCGTGACACGTGAGACTTTTGAAATCTGGCATGTATTGGCCTTGGCAGTTTGCTGATAATAACATCTCCATCCTAAAAGTCCGCTTAGGGAAGTAACTAAGGGCGACAGCGCCTGAACGCCAAGACACTATAGAAGTTCTTCGTGACTCGTCTGGCAGCCTAAACACAGTTACATATTCTACGTCAAAATTATCGAAACTCTAAATCGCACAGATGAATGTGTTGGCCAGGTCGATCTATCCACTGGCCCATGCGCAGCTGAATGCCGCTCTCGAGGTCGTTGCACCTTGCTGAAGTAGGGGCAATCTGCCGCGCAACCGCAGCAGCGATCAGTTATGACCGCTAACTTGCCCGTGCTACGCGTTACGCCCCCGAGTCATGAAAACCTTACGATAATAAGGTCTCTGGACTTTTTCCGCTTTGCCCTAAAAGTCGCTTTAAGTCGTGAACTCAAGGATATCGAAAAAATTTTAGTGCGCGTGGCGCTGTTGGCTCGCTCAAGTCAGTGTCGTGGTGTTGGCAACATATAGTCCCGCGCCAAGAAGTCCGGTGGATGAGATAGATTGATATATATGAACCATTTTTGTTACTGTTAACCCTACTGCGTTCTTTTAACTAAGAAAGATGAATTCCTAAGCCTCATTTCGGAATTCTCGGTGTTGAAGTCCACTTGAAGAGCAATATCTGCCCAGCTTCATTTAACATACAAACCTTGGGTGTGAAATGAGAGCCTTCTGGTGTAAGCACGTGTCCTAGAGTTGCGTATGAGAGCCTGAGTATCCTTTGTGAGTCTGGACAACTTGTGCTCATCGTTATGACCGTTCCAAAGTATTTAACTACATGTACAATGGATCTCGCTGGTCAACGAGATTGTGTCATAAAAGCAGACCAGTGCAAAAAGATAGCAGACTATTCACTCCCTGCTCTTTACCATTTAGATCTTTCCCCAAGTTCTAGTCACTTCACCAAGATGTTTGTTTGCAGATCCATCACCCTCGTTCTTGCTGCCCTTACAACCAGCGCCTATGCCATTGTGAGTTATTCAACCAAACTTCTATTGTCCAGATTCAAGTAGCACTTCTGACATTTCTTGGAAAGTGCCATATTGGCACCAGTATCGATATGAACTGCTGTTGGGGAGGTACCGCTGGCGAGGACGCTTGCTTCCGCCAACAAAAGTCCGTCAACTGCGGCAACGGAATCGAACAGGCCAACTTCTGCAAGAACATTGGTATTGACAGAACTAGATGTGTATGTATTCTATGTTCTGTGCTGACGCTAGATCGATTTGAAGACGCTGATCCTTTTTTTGGCCAGGACGCCGACTGCTGCGACCCGAGGACTGGTTGGGGTAAGGCGTGTCCCAAGGGAAAGAACGCGTGCAATGGCATCTGCCCCAGTTGAGCATCCGTTGCTTGTTTGATCAATCTTGGTTACAATGGTATTAAAACAGGATGTTACTTGGTTGGGCTTTGATTAGAGATCCTACTTGCGACTATATGTCAAGCACTGTGAATTTCGTTGAGTAAATCCAATAGACAACGTCTATTTAAACTGAGTTCGGAATTTCGAACTTTATATACATCTTGATCCCACTGTAGGTTATTAACTGGCGATGTTGGCTTCACCTGGTGCGCTACGAGCCATCTGATGGAGCCAAGCTACTAACATCAGCCTTTCGCTCGGCTTTCACGAATATTCCGTACAATCGCATACCAGATGAAACAGCAGAGTGAAATTTTGGCTTAATGCTTCAGTTGCTGATTGAAAGAATGCTGTACCATCCAGCTAGACTAGATGATGTAATCAACGCCGCTGTATCTAGCCATCAATTGAGCAGTTATCTTCAACACAGTTTCCCAGTTTCTGAGCACACCTGACTTTTTATCAAACAACCGAGGAGACTGAGCTCTTGACTACGAGATTTCTCGAGGCTCGAGAAGGATTCTTAGCTGCAATGAAGCTGCAACGTCTTCTAGCCGCGACAGAGGCTTTCCCGCTACATAGACTTCAGACAAAGTGTTTGGGCCTTCTTGCGTCCAAATATACCGCAAGATTTACCCAGTAGTTGGCTCGGATTGAAAACCCCCATTCAAATGGGAAAGAAGGGCTGTGTTTGACCCAACACTGTCTTCCCCGTAGTGCTGTCTCGAAACGACTGCCGAATCTCCTTACCGTGTCTATTATCATAAGATTCTGGTCTCCATGCTCCTTTTACACTTGTGCTGAAACTAAAGGCTCATTTCAGATAAGAATTGCGCATGCGTATGCGTGTTTCTTTAGCTGCTTTGTTCGTCTTAAACATGGGTACTCAAAATTGCCCTACCCTTAACACCAATGTGATAACATTCATTCGCACTTGAAGAGAAAGTGATCTGAGGCTGTGAACCGAAACTTTGACAGGTCCCTCTCGAAATGTCAAGTCGTTCTCGGTTTTTAAACCTTTTCATTTCCATCGGAAGTTTCATCATCTCACAAATACGGCCTCATTACCAGCCGCTTCCTTGTTCACGGATCTCCCCTCTACGGGGTTAATCCATCACTTTGCCCTACAGTTGTTACTACACATTGGGTGAGAGCGGCGATCTACCTTATTTTTTCGGAGCACCCCGCACCCCGCACCCCGATCGCTGAATTGCATGTAAGAGGCAGTTGAAAGCACGCAGATACTACACAGCACAAACAGGCACTAACCCCTGCTCTTAAAAGACAACCTCAGAGGGTAACTCGAACCCAATGCGCCGCATTTCCCAGATCTAGAATACGGGGCTACTGATCTATGACCTTGGGCCAAGGGTAACTTTCGGAAAACACATTGAACACAGTGAGCCTAGTTGAAGAAACATGCACTGATGCCCGTTTGCCAAAACGGACGTATTTCAAAGTTCTGCTTTGTGACATGTTAGTAGAATAAATTTTTCTGTATTAGAACAGGCTGCACAGAGGAGGGGAACATCGTGAGAGACACTAAGGGTGTTTTGATTAAAATCGAAACGAGATTCAAGACACTGAATCTGAGGTTGTAGAACTAACAGTAAGGAGTGAGGAACAGAGCTTAATTTTGCAGTCTTTACACCTACGTAGGCGATGATTACTATATTATCTTGGGAAACTCGATCGTTTGGAATCTTAACCTGGGCGGACCGATCCGAAGCTTTTGGGTGGGAAGCGTGGTGCGGGCTTAAAGTAGATTTTGGCAGTCCGTGTGTGACACATAAGGTTTCTCAAGTCTGTTTTGGCTACCCCGGCATTACCCATGCTTATTTGCTCCTGGAAAGGGCCATCTTGTAATCATCGAAACAGATTGTGAGCACCCGAGAGTTCTACGCTACCGCACTATATTTTTAATCAGAATGTTACAAATAGTGAGTATCTCCTCTGCTTTTCAAGGCTGACTCGTATGGACATGCAGGCTCGTTGGTATTCTCAAGGTCTCAGTTCCTCTTATAAATCCATTCGTCAGGCAGATCATTCAATGTTACAGAAGCAAACCACCACAATGTTGCGGCCTTTCGTATCTATTATCGTTGCCTTGTTTCCACTTTTTATTTCTGGCCAGTTCGTCACTCAGCCTACGGATCTCAAAATCCTTAAGGGGGCTGGAGGAGTCACCGTCCGATATAAGCAGGTACCAAACGGCATATGTGAGACCAACAACAAGGTGAAGAGCTTCGCCGGCTATGTGGACGTGAGTCCGACTCAGCACATCTACTTTTATCTGTTCGAAGCAAGACAGAATGCGGCTTCAGCTCCCTTAACGGTTAGGTTGGATGGAGGACCGGGCGCATCCTCTATGAATGGACTCTTCAGCGAGATCGGTCCTTGCACTATTGATGCCAGTGGAAAGGTGGTGGACAACCCAAATTCCTGGTCAACCATAAGCAACTTACTATTTGTCGACCAGCCAGCCACCGTCGGCTTCTCATATACCACCTTAGTCAACGGCACTGTCAACCCCCAAACCGCTGAGATTGTACCTCAACAATGCACATTGGCAGACCCGATGTGTGGGACGTACTCGTCCATGGACATTTCCTTGACACCAAACTCGACAACTGAAGCTGCGAAGGTATTCTACAATGTGATACAGGGTTTCATGGGCGCTTTCCCCCAGTACGCTGCAAATGGAGTGCACATCACCGGTCAGTCGTATGGTGGTCACTATGCTCCCGTCTTCGCCGACTACATCACTCAGCAAAATCGTTTGAAGGCAACCGGCACCGTCCAAGTCCCCCTGAAATCCATTTCCATCGAGGATGGGTTCATGGATACTCGCGTACAGTTTGGCGCATATTTCAACTACTCTGTGGCCCCAGGCAACCCATACGACGTGTTGCCGTTTAACGAAACTCTGCAGCAACAGCTTTTTACTAACATGTTCGGTTCTAGTGGCTGTCAGGGTCGACAAGCGGCCTGCAACACCAGTCCGACCGACAAAGTATGCGCCGACGCTGAAGCTTTCTGCATCGAGGCTGTTGAAGAATTCTGGGACACCCACTCTGGCCGCTCTCAAAACGACATTCGCCTGTTAAATCCGGAACCATACCCGGCTCCAGATTTCGTTGCATACCTCAACAGAGCCGATGTACAAGCAGCTATTGCGGCCTCGAACAACTTTTCAAGAGCGTCGGTGCAGACCTCCATCGCGTTCAGCTCGACCGGTGACGACAGCCGTACGGGTGCACTTGTCACCCAATCTATGACAAACCTTCTCCAGCAGGGCGTCACCGTTGCCCTGTTCACTGGCGACGCCGACTACGATAGCAACATGATAGGCGCACAGATCGTTGCGGCGAACGTGGGTGCTGCAAACTGGGCCACTGCCGGGTTTGTAAACTTGTCAGCCAATAGCGACGGACAGATTCCGGGCGAGGTGAAGCAAGCCGACGGCTTCTCGTTTACGCGACTCTATTTTGCAGGCCACTTTTCTGCCTTCAACCAGCCCGAGGCCACACTCAGAATTCAAAGCCATGTCATTAAGGGTGTAGACGTCGCAACTGGGAAGATGCCAATGGCCTTTGGAATGAACATCACCACGCGAGGACCGTTGGAGAGCACATTTAAAGAAGGTCCGGCTACGGTTCAAACGAAGGTTGTACCTAAGGGCGCTGTCTACGACCCGCACACGCATCTGCCTGTGCTTCCGGGACATTCGGTGGCTGCGGACGGCGGGACTACCAGCGTCAAGATCGATGTGGCTCGAGACTCGCCACCTCATCCACTGGCTGGTTTCACGGTGAAGAACATTAGGAAAATGCTCAGACAGAACGGGCCACTGCAGAAGAATTGAGCCTACATCTCGCTTCTCGGCCTCAAGATTTCTAAGATTTTGCTGTCTTACTGGCCAAGATTTTTCAAGTTAGATCAGATTCAGCAGTTTGGAAACCCCTTTTTTTAACATCCTTGTAAACTAGAACGATTGTTTAATTATTCGGTTAGGCGACTCTCTCCCGGTGCGAAGTCGTGAACCTCTACTGTGATCTTAGAGTTTAAGGAAGAAAATAGCTCGAAAAGAGGTCAAGACAGCGAAGGGCTGGTATTTTTTATTCTACATTAAACGTGTTATTCTTATCATTGTCAACCTACTAGCATACCAACTTCTAGCATTGTCGCGCTGCAATGCGTGAATACATGTAACATTAGAAGAATTGTGTTTGGGCGGCCAAATGCGTTCCAGCTATACGCCTAATATTATAGGCGGCTGTACCCATTTCAACCAGCAAGATGTTGCATATTGCCTTCGCTATTGCATGTGTATCCAGAAGACTGGGTCATTGTTAGTGCTTGTCGTGGATCCTGGGCGCCCCTGATGTCACTTTTCAACCCTTGGTGTGTTGAGGCTCTATGCTAGATATAGGCCGCTTTGTTATCGATATTAAATATTTTTCAAATATTTCTCAGGGTATCTTTAAGCTAGGTCAGTAAAGAAAGGTACTATGACTCCGTATATGCTCTTTATGAATATAAATCCCGGCCTGGTTGGCTGCCTACTTCTGGCGAAGCGTAGGCAGTTCTACGAATTAAACTCAAGGTTACAGGTGCGAGAGAATAAGGTCATCTCTCGGTTCCTGCGTAATGCCGCGAGCATAAGTCAACGCACTTGAGAATCCGTCGACTATTACAGTCGCGGATAAAGGTTTTTGCTCATCTAGGGTCAATCTCCCTCTATACTTTTACGCTGACCTCTTGATACTCCAACTAGTCCGATCGCATGGCATGCCTCTTCCCAGTTGCTGGAAATGTTAAAAGTCTACTGGTGGTTGAGTTATATGGTAACGTCGAGTAATGCCATCACTGACTGTGCCTAGGTAGTATTGAGAAACATGTTATCAATGGCAACTAAAAAATAGAATCTACCAGGACCCTAGCTGGCTTTGACCAACATCAAGAACTCAAATGAGGGATTGGGATCGCGCATCACAGTCTTAAGTCAGCCCTAGCCCTTCACTATCGATGTCTTGTATTGCGTCCATAGTTGATGGTAATTCAAGAAAAGCGTATGTATGAAACATCGCCACCATAGGCTTAGCTCGAAACTTTTGAACTAGATCCCTTCCATAGTACTCTAAATATCACCAATCATAGTCGATACACTGGCACATAATGATGTTAAAGCTGGCAATAGCATGGCTGAATGTTGACATGCAAAAAGTAGAAGATGTGGTAGAGTACAGCGATAATCGAAATCTACAGTTGGCGTCGCGTTTATTTCAACAGACATCTCCTGTCGTAATCGTATGTGTCTCAACCGATGCTTACATGAATAATCTCAATGGAAAATGACGCGAAAGCCTGGCGTCAAGTATGCACAAAGCCTATTGTATTGAAGTCGATGTCCTATTTGGTAAACATCGTACCTCTAGAATCCATAAGACAAAGTGATGAGGTCAGTCTCAGATGAGGTGCCTTTCATTCAATCATGATTGGGGTTGTCGCCATCACCATTCATCCGTAGCGGATATTTACATGCAGCAAATCGTACCTAGCGGACGCGCCAATGATGACTTTTTGAGTGATATCTGTGCTCCTCGCCCTACGAAATGGGGAATGCCTTTGGGCGTTGTTCTTGACATTGTAGTAAGGGGGGCGCTTGGCATTCTACAACTAAAATAGAAACGATGAAACATCCCAGCTAGTGACCTCACTTGAGCTTACCAAGAGCCGGCAAATGGATCAGAACAGCCTTAAAAGAGGAACTAATCAAGATCCCTATTCAAAATTGCCGTGATAGAATGTTAGTTGTCAAAAAGTTCCGATGCATGAATGTTACCAGGCGATTGAAGTCTTAAATATATTGTGCACAGCTTGTGTACCATCAGCAGGGACCCTCAGAATAGCCACAACCGAGCCACCATCCTCAACCAAACTTTGTTGGAGAATGCCAAGGAACAGGCAAATAGACCAACCGCAACCACATTATTTGGGTTAGCCGTAGTTTTGTTGCGTGTATAGTAGGCTTTGACTACAAAAAGATCACGTGTGCAACGTCGGATTGCACCTCCGTGAGTATAACCTTAGCGCGGGACATCCACCCAAGAGGGTGCGCCAGGAACAGCCATTTTTGGTACGTGCCTGTGAGAGTTAAATTCAAACGTGCGGGGAGGGGCTTGTTGGTTCGAATAAATGTCTATTGTTTGACGTTGATGGTATGGGAGACAGAGACCCATAGCCTTAACACCGACGTTAAGTTCCATGTGGCACCTGGCCGATCCAGGGGTTGGTCCCTTTCGCATGAACGACAGCGGGAAAGCAACGATATTACCGAGTCATTGGCCATAAACAAAGCTTAGTTGTCAAATGTTAGGCCATTGTGAAAACAAGACTTCCTATTGGCTTACAATGACGTTTGGACTGGGAGTTGCTAACAGAAGCTGTGCCAGCAAGTATTTCCTCTGTCAGTCGGCACGTCGGGTACTCGGAATAGTTCACCTAAAGACACTCCGAGCCCCATTTGGTAGCCAATAGTGGCAGCAGATTACAGCATTCCAGTTTCCAGTGGCCATCTACTTGTTAAGCGATGTTGTCTTAATACCGACTGCTAAGATGGTAGAACCCCATGATCGCCATCTAAATGAGTGTTGAATATAGCGGCTTTCATGTCCGAACCCACTCGCGGGGTTTAGTCACTTAGAGTTGGAATAGAGGTAGTGGTCCGTATTGAACAAAGCTTTAAGCGGTGGACATGATGGCGCTTTGGTATCGTATCGACGAGTGTATAAAGAAGAGGAGATGTCTCCTCATCGGATAGAATGTTCTGGGTTATCATCCAGTACAGGGCAATGAACGTCAGCACCATCACGCTCTCCTCATCTTCTTCAACACATCTCTGTTCTCATCTCAAACCCATTTTGCAATTCGTTCTAGACGAAGAAACAAATCATGTCGACTAAGCAGATTTTGTCTCTACTTCCCCTTCTTTTCAGCCTGGGTTGGTCATCCCCGGCACCCACCCCGCGCGAGAGAAATCACTCCGGCTCCCATGGAGGTACCAAGCCTGGCTTTGGCCCTTCCGGAACCGTCTCATCTCTGCTTCACCAAACGAGCACCTCAAATCCAGTTGAGGGCGCTGCCACGCCCACGGCTAGCAGCACTACTAACACAGGAAACGAAACAAGGCCAGGCAGTGGTGGCAGCCCGACTCTTCCCCAGGGCTACGCAAAGATCGTCTTCCAGGACGACTTCTCAAAACAGAAAGCCGGCGCCCTCCCCGACTCGTCGAAGTGGACTTTTGACGTCGGCACCGGCTACCCCGGTGGCGCTACGAATTGGGGGACGCAGGAGATCCAGACGTATACAAAGGACACGGCCAACATCGCCATTTCGGAAAGCGGCACGCTGACGATTACACCTATAAAGAAAGGCGAAGCTTGGACTTCATCCCGCATTGAGACCAACGCCGCGCAGGACTTCACTTGTCCAGAGGGGGGCAAGCTGCGCATGGAGGCAAGCATCATGATTCCGGCCTCAGACCCGGCGACTCAGGCCGGCATCTGGCCTGCTTTCTGGTCCATGGGCTCTGCATTCCGCACCAACGTCAGTTCATGGCCCAGCGTCGGCGAGATCGATATGCTCGAGGTCTCCAACGGCGTCGGTACAGTGTTCCAAACGGCTCACTGTGGTGTCATTGATGGCGGTCCCTGCAATGAGAAGACCGGTCTCAGCTCCAGCTCCGAGTTTCCTCGGGGCGAGTTTACCAAGATAGCCTGCGAGGTCGACCGCTCTGCCGGTGGCGGCTTCGCATCCGAGAAACTTGTGTGGTACATTAACGACAAGCCAACCAAGACCATCACCGGCCAGCAAATCGGCGACGAGGCCGTCTGGAAGAACCTTGCTCAGACTCCAAAGATGATCCTGCTCAATGTTGCCGTTGGCGGCGAGTTTCCCGATGCCAAGGCCGGCACCAAGACTCCTAGCGCGCAGACTGTTGGGGGCAAGAACTCGCGGATGGAGATCAAATACGTAGCCGTGTACAGCTCTTAGAGTTGCTTCTGCATACCAAATCGGTGTGGCACTATATCACTTCTCTTCAAATCGGCCTAGAATGGGCTGAAGGATTAGAGCCGGATGTATTTATCATGGTACTATGAAGCGATTTGTCAGCTTCGATCATGTTAAAAAATACGAGCGCATTTGTATGTTAGCACATTTCTTACATGAATACATAAAACATTACCACACTCATTCGAGCTCCCGTGCAAGTGTATATTTTTCCTTTGTTAGCAAAACCGCATCCTTTGAGTATGGCTGTCTAGTCTATTACAATACAATACTTATAAAATCGTCAACATCACAATACAAAACACCATGTTGTACGACATCACGTTCAAGTCATAAAAGCAGGATAAGTGAACAAGGAATTTCTTGTTGTATTGTCTGGTGCCACTCGAAAAGGGCGTAAGTCACAGAATTACGCGTTATACTATGTACAAAGAACTTCTAATATGTACCTGGAAGGATACACGTCCCCTCTATCAAACACCGTCTATCGCACTCACGAGTATGCTGAAGCTGCTGCTCTTAGTACTGAGCAGAGCGGCGGGCCTTGCGGGCACGGCGCTTCTTGCAGCCAGCGGCGGAGCTGGGAGCAGGAGTGGCGGCAGCAGAGCTGGTGGCAGCAGCGCTGGTGGCAGGCTTGGTGACAAGGGTGGTAGGGGCAGCGGCAGCGGCGCTAGTGACAGCAGGGGCAGCGCTGGTGGCAGCAGGGGCAGAGGCGGCAGGGGCGGAAGAGGCGGGAGCAGAGCCGGATCCAGAGCCGGAGCCGGAGCCGTAGACGGCAGGGCCGGGGATGATGTAGTTGGTGATGGTGTTGTAGATGTTGATCAACAGACCAGGGTCAGTGGCCTTGTAGGCACCGGGGAAAGAAACACCCTCAGGCTTGGCAGTGCCAGTACCCTCAATCTTGAGCTGGTAGCAAGACATGTAGTACTGGGCGCCGTCGACGGAGCCGGCGGCGTGGAGAGCGACGGTCTCGGCACGGAGGAGGTAGTCACCAGGGGCGATGTCGGAGGGGATGACGAAGTTCTGCTTGCCGCAGCCCTCGTTGATGAGGTCGTTGCCCCAGGTGTTGTTGTTGGCGAAGTAGCCGGACTCGAAGACCTTGAAGAAGGGGGTGGAGCCGTCGGCAGCGGCAGCGTCGTCGACAGCGCTGAGGTAGATCATGACGGGCCGTGGTGAGCGCCACCGATGGCCTCCTCGGAGCAGGCGCGGGTGTTGTGCTGGTGCATCTCGACGGTGATGGTGTCACCGGCCTTAACGCCGCAGGTGGAGGTGGCGGCGGCGGGGTTGGCGTTGCAGCGCATGTCGTTGGAGGTAGGGTCCTGGACGGGAGAGTTGGAGGCCTAGTATGACGATTAGTGTTGTGCTCTTTCTGACAGACCCTATTGATTGCTTCGACGCGGACTTACAGGCATGCGAACGCAGCTGGACTCCTGGTCCTGACCGTTAACCCAGAGTTGCTGGAAGATGGCGTGGCCGGCAACCATGTTGGCCATGGAGGCGGTAAGGGCGAGAGCAGCGAAAGACTTCATCTTGACGGTTTGGTGGCTTGATTTGTTGGTAAAGGACGGTAGTTCCGGGCGTTAGAAGCGTATGTACACACAAAGGTGAGAAAGAGTGAAATGACGCCGGCGTCGAGCTGAGAGAATGACTGAAGGTAAAGAGTGGACAGATGAGTGACTGAAAGCTGTTGGAGAGAAAGGTGAGCTCTCTTTTCACGAGAAGAGCAGACCCGGACTATATGTATCCCACACCAACTTTCAAGATTCCCCTCCTCTCTCTCTGGCATCCCACTTACAACCCCCACTGCGGGTATGAGCAGGCTAGCCCGGAGCCGCCAAGCCTAAACTCTGGATAGGGGAAACGGCATACCCGTGCCAGTATCAATGGTCATGGCGCCGCCTCGTCGGTTCAACTAACCACCAGGGATCTCTCCAGCCCTGAACGAGCGTTAATCTCGACTGGCAAGGGTCGTCAGGACTGAATGGGCATCCTAGCTGCAGGCAAACAACCTGTGCGTCCCAGTATCCCTGGCAGCACAACCGTTAGTCCACCAATGTTCATTGGAGCAATAATCTTGGAAGGGTTAACGTTGTGGGTATGCCCGTTGTTGTGTATAGATTGCGGGATGCGTGCCTTGCAGCTTCGGCTGCGCATGTGAAGCGCCCAGCTCCAGTTCAGGCTCGGTTCGAGGCCCTCGTTTTGCCTGTTGGCGTCCGCCCTCCACCTTTCTTATTCGCCCTTTTCTGGCCTGTAAGACAAAGAATCCCTCGTCTTCGTCCCAACTTGAACCCCAAGCTTAATTTAACCCCTTGTAGGACATCACTGTCTTGCCGTGCGGCTAGCCAGTGTGAACCCTGGTTCCCTCTTCCCTTCGCGGCTGCTCGTCCGAACCTGAAACACAGACAGCATATACCCCTGGCGCTACTGAGTCTTACAGACAAGACCGCCGAAAAAAAAAAATCCAAAACTGCTGAGTGGCAATCACAGCTGTTCAGAGCCTCGAAACGGGATGAACGAGCGCTCGGTGAACTTTTCGTCCAATATATCATTCGAGACTGGGCAGTTGCCAAATGTCTCCCGGTTAACTTTCCGCGGTTGACGTTGAATAGATTAAAAGCTTAGAATCGTGAGATCTGCGCAGCACTACGTTTGAGTTCCTTGGTGCTTCTCTGGTTCCCGCGAGCTAGCCGTTTGGGCAAGTAGGCCCTAGGCTTGAATGATTCCGATTGGCCAGGCTGGGTGTCATTTTCGCCAAGGGATGGGCAGAGTACTATGTATGGTGCCCCGATAAATTGTGTCACCCAAAGTGGCTCGCTCCTGGATGGGCCCCCGCGTGGATCGCCAGGTACTCGTGCCTGCACCGCTGGCGGACACGTGCGTTACGGGTATAGCGATGCGTTAGGGGAGAGGCCAGCGGGAGCGCAGCAACTGGCCAGCATCTTGGGCTTGGCCGCTGCTCTTGACTCAATATACTGGTTTATGCATCCCTATTGCGGTTGTTGACCGACCGGATTCGTTCAGCCCACTTCACGCCTTGACCTGTTCTTGTCACATCTGAACATGCAATGGGAATGCCACTTCTTTTCAACTTGCAGCCTCAACGGGCAATATTGGACCATTCTCGTCGCGCCTCGGCTCTTTGCCAGGATTTGTGGGGAGAGTATTGTGGTCCTGTGAGCGTCTAGAGGGAAATCATCTCCGAGTGAAACGAGCCTAGATCTTGGGGACCAATACGTAGGGGCTACTTAAAATTTCTGTCGACTCTCCTACTGCCCACAAAGGGGGCAGTACCTAGGAGAGTCGGAATAGGCTAATGCACCGCTGGCCGCTGCGGTTAATCAGCTTGAAACCAGGGCTGGCGGGCTCTGGGCCCGGGCTGCATGGATGATGGCACCAACGGGCTACGAGGGGTAAAAACCACGCCAACATATCAGGAATTGGCCTATTTCGTGCCGCTTTGAAAAGAAATAAGACCAATTATTCAGGCCATGCGCTGGCGGCAAACCTGATACTGTACGTCATACTTTCTAGAACTCCACAATCCGCAGTGCCTTTTACGCCGCATTGTCTTGATGATGGCGGTGCACATTGTCGCCTTTGGTGCTAGTAAGACAAACTGTGACAACCGAGGCACATCGATTTGGTGAGTCGGATCTGGCGCTAATATCATTTGTCCCACGCTTCATGGGCTTTAGCCAATATCTCGGTTCTTTGGATTGGAAAAGTCCAATCCAGTCAAGAAATGACAACATTTCCTGGCGCATGACAACATCAAGATGGAATAGGGAGTGTTCGAATCTCAGCGACAGGGAAACGAGTAGATGCCAGTTTATGGTTAATAGCCGGAGCGCCAGTACGCCTGTTCAATCAGACATTGGTGCACCGGTCCAAAAAACAAAATAAGCTTGATGGCATTTCTAGTTTAGCCTGTGGCTAAAGCTACTATCGATGAGACACGCTGGCCCACCTTCAGCGAACAAATCTTCTGGAACTTGTGGGCTGCAGACTCCAGCATCATTTCGACCTCGTCCTACGATCTACAGAACCTCTTTCTCTATTCGCCTTCTGTGGCATCCATTTCCACTTCTTGCTTCATGCTAGTGGAAGATGCGACTTGCAACACCAGACTTATAGTGTTTCTCTTTCGCACCTTGATTAAATTTTCACATGCAACGAAGCAAGGCTTTGACCGAGGCATCCGCTGGCTTTGTCAGTTGTAAAAACTCAACAACGATGGCGCTCGCATCCAGCATTCAGGCTTGAGTGATTGATTGCTGCGCTCCCCACAACGCGCACTCCATCCTCAGGTAGTGATGATGCTATTGGCAAGTGATCCGTGTTCTCGTGTGGTTCGAACTGCAGGCACAATACCGAATGTCCCTTGCGGCGCTTGAAGAATTTCCTGTCTCAGGGGTTTGATCGAGAGCGCCGCTGGCCAAATGACTTCTCGGGCTCGATATTTGTTATGGTTGACCTTGGGGGCTTTGAGACTCTGACTGGAGTTTCGGAATGACAGCCATTCATCGGGTGTACGCTGGCATGACCGATGGCCCTTCCATTTCAAAAAGTTTAGCCACGATTACCGCTGATCGGTAACAGTCATAACCTGAGGTAGCGGTGCTGGTGCATTCCGCATCTCGACTGCGACGCGAGTGTCGTGGATACGTCTGTCGAACATCTTGAAATCAAAGACGCCTTCAAGCTCGCGTCGAATGTTGGCCAGTTGCTCGTGTGCCTTTAGGATCTCGTCGGGTTTGTTGTCTTGATGAACATGGACCTTAATCAGAAACATCCATCGCCGTCCAGGGTCCGCTGGAGACATGGTGTCCCAAGGGGCCGTCTGCGTGAGAGGGCCATTGTCGCCGTTCATCTGAAGAATGTAGTGTCTTGAAAGACAAAACTCAACATCGTCTCTAAAAAACTGGAATGTCTCCTCAACAGCTTCGCTCTTGAACCTGTATCGTGTTAAACGTTATCGCTCTGCTAGCGAACAACATCACGTACTGGTAATTGTTATCTCTCATAACAGACAACAAGTTCTTCTGGTCCCAGATCTCCGTCTTCTTGCGCTGAGTAACCGATGAGCGGTTCTGGGGAGGGTCAGGGAAATCAGTCCATCGGAGGGTACCAGGACGCGCATTGAAGTCCACTTCCGGAGCGGTCGGACCGAAGTCCTTATCCTTGAACACCTCATATCGAGCTTGGAGGATGTAAGATTGGCGGCTCAGTTGTTGGTGCAGGTCCTTCCACAAGGTCTGGATGTCTTTTCGAGGAGTTTTGACGATTGAGTTCTGGTTCGAGATCCCGCCAGGTTTGGCCGGGCCCTTGAAGTAGAGGACGCGATGGAGGCTCTGCCAGGCGGGCATGGCGCAGAGACCACCCAAGACGGAGCAAGCCGCCTGAATGTCGTCGTCGTCGACGAGCGTTGTAAGAAAAAGCTCGTACATGACTGGTTTCGGCTTTATGTATATTGGAAGGGGAGCGAGAAGAGGATAACGGTGGCACTCATTACTCAGGCAAGGGATCGCGAAGGTGAAGCTCAATGAGCTCGACGAGGGCCCAGAGAATGCGGGAGTCGGCGAAATCGCGGCAACCGACCCACGCTAGAATTGATGGCCTGGGTGTGGTCACGTGGATGCCCGTCACCGTGCGTGATTGCCCAGGCGCGTGGTCGCGGTCCGATCGAAGCAGGAGCTGTGCCCCACCAAAGGTCGCAGCTTCCTTCGTCGGCCTGACCTTCAGCTGTTCGTGCCGACATGCGCAAGTCCTTTTTGCAAACCAACAACCGAGCGGTTCTCATTCCTCTAGGGTATCGATCAATACACACGAGCCGAGGCATGTCATCGTCCAACTCCTCGACCGCAAAGCGGAAGCAGAGAGACTCAATCTCGCCGCCGCCTGTCAAGCGGAAAGTCCAGAGCGGCACCACCAGTAAGCGATGCTCCACTGCTGTCAAGTGAACGATTGTTAATATTTCTGAAGAAAATGCAGTTGCCAACTTCTTCAAACCATCCTCCCAAAAGCCTAAAGACCGAACAATCTGGACAGAACGAGCCCCGAACGATGATACTCCCGCGACCCTGCTTGTCGGCCGCTACGAACCGGAGCACACCCCCTCCGAACCTGAAAAGAGGACCAAGGTTGCTGCCTTTGATCTGGTATGGTAGCTCGTACGAGTTCCTCTGATACAAACGACGGTAATTGACGCATAGCGCCTCAGGACTCGACTCTAATTACAACAGCGTCTGGCAAGAAGCACGCCGACGCTGCTGCAGACTGGAAGTGGTGGCATGCCAGCGTTCCTGGGAAGTTGAAGGAGATGTACAACGACCAGGGGTAAGTTGTTTATGCAGCATCTTTTTTGGGCACTCGTTGACATCGTCAGGTATCGCGTCGTAGTGCTCTCTAACCAAGCCGGTCTTGTTCTTCACGCCGACCCGAAAGCCAAAACCCCGAAATCGACCAAAGACAGAGTCTCTGCGTTCAAACAAAAGGTCAACGCTGTCTTGACGCAACTCGATCTTCCTGTGACCGTATATGCTGCTACGGAAAAGGATATCTACCGGAAACCACGGTCGGGAATGTGGAAAGAACTCTGCGACGACTACGACCTTGCTGGAGACATCGATTTGAAGCAAAGCATCTTTATCGGTGATGCAGGAGGTCGGATAGCTGCATCAAAAACTGCCAAGGATTTCAGCTGCTCTGATCGGAATTTTGCCGACAATGTTGGTATCGAATACAAGACTCCAGAGGAATTCTTTCTTGGCGAGAAACCGCGGGACTTCGTTCGAGAGTTCGACATTGTTCATTTCCCATATCCAGAGGGCTCAAATTCTCCCAGATTGGATGTTATATTCGAGAAGAAGAACAAACAGGACATCGTCTTGTGTTGTGGCCCACCCGGTGCCGGCAAAAGCACGTTTTTCTGGAAGCACCTGAAGCCGTTGGGATACGAGCGGGTCAACCAAGATATTTTGAAAACGTCAGTTGGTTTAGAGTCTTGGACTCAGAGTTCTTGAGTTGCTGACATGTTTGCAGCCGAGAAAAGTGCGTTCAAGCTGCCAAAGACCTGCTGAGCGATGGTCAATCCATCACAATAGGTCAGTTACCTAGACTATCAATCACAAAAACCAGCCACTGACACGAACCAGACAACACCAATGCCGACCCTGATACAAGAGCTGTCTGGGTTCAGTTAGCAGAGAAGCTGAAAGTGCCTATCAGATGTGTCTGGTTCAAGACACCGCTGCACATCTGCGAACACAACGACGCTGTGCGGTCTTTGAATGAATCAGTGAGTTTGACGTGCCCCGGCTGTAATGGCTCCCGCTGATAATATTCCAGCTCAATCCTGAGTCCCGGACTGCACTGCCTAAGATGGCCTTCAATGGCTTCAAGTCACGTTTCAAAGAGCCAAAGGTTAAGGAAGGCTTCCAAGACCTCACCGAGGTTGAGTTCGCCTTCCGAGGAACTAAGGAAGAGCATAAGGTGTGGGCCAAATACTGGCTGTGATCGACTGGGCCTATTCTGACGATCTTAACCCCTCCCTACTCAACAGGTATGTCATCTGACTCGCTAATAACAGCTCCTTATTAAAGGATAGCGTCCTTAGCATTATCTCTGAAGCATGCTGGTTTTCCCCTATTCATATGGTTATGGGACGTCCAAACTGTCCATAGATGGTACTTAAAGTAAAGGCCATGTCTCATGGGTTTCGCTTTCCGCGCTGGTTGACATAACGGAATCAATGAATGCCGCCCAAGCAAAGCTTCTGCCCGAGTTGTAAAATATACGCCATTTGCGGGTGGCAAAACAGCATCCTTACTGGAGAACTGTGGTAGAGTCTGGGTAGTCGCGGAACCGTAACGTGTCGTCGTCAATAACTTCACAAAGAAGCGCGTCCAACGTTACTTTCTCCGCCGTTGCTGCTCCGAGACGCATCCATGGAACAAGCAAAGTTAAGCTGCGGAGGGATATTATAATGGCGGCTGTAGTCTTGACGCGCAAAAAGTGCAGTCAAGAAGTCAATGAATAACCCGTAATTATCACGCATATTCGTCTGAGGTTACCGGATTGTAAGGTTGAAGAATGCCGAGGCCCCTATTCAGGTTGTGAACACTGGCGAATCATTTTACTCGCGGCCCATTGCGCAGCGGCGTCACCGCCAGCGTTCTGTCTCGATACTAGTACATCACATGATGTGTTGAGAAACACTAGCTTGTTCAAAGGATGGTGTCACACGGCTACTTTCCAGATTGTTATCAAATTTTATAGCCCTTGGCCTTGCTTTCCAGTATTCGAATAAAACTCTACCGCCAGCATGTGACAAGCACAAGGGGGCTGTTAGAAGCAGGCGCCCACGTGGATGGGGCGCATCAAACAAGGCACCGAATGTCGTTCTGCCAGTATCAATACTTACTGGATCATATTTTTGGGAATCGCTATACGCCGCTCGAGGCCGCCGTATAGAATTTGGAGCAGTATGCGTTGCCTGAGGGACTGGACGTCAACCGCCAGTACGTCGCATGGAACGGCGACAACCCACATGGTGCTCTGCACTACCAACTCATTCGATTCATTGTTACCCTCTTTTTCTTAGGTTTGATTTGCTTAGGCTTGATATGTAATTTGTATACCCAGATATTTGAGTCCGTCCTTGATATCGGAGTAAATCCAAACTTGTCGTTCCAGGGCACACCAACTGAGGTCAACGACCCCATGCCGTTTTTGGCTTCACAATGTCGGGTCTGCAACGATACCTTACTCAAATCAATGCGTAAGAACAAATGTTGCTCCAAGCTGTGAAGCTCGAAACATTGCTCCGCAAAAGACCGTCAGCAACGTCGTGTATGGTCTTTGAGGTTTGCGGCCAGTCATCAAAGATGCAACACTATGGGGAGGGGGTTGTTCCGCATTGGGCACGAAAGAACTCAGGGGTTCTTCGCGAAATACTATGGACTGTAGAGTTCATCTTCTGCACAAAAATATTCGCCAACGGCGCCGATGCAGAGGGAGAGACAGCAATGCATCTTGCCGTCTGGCTTCCGATCACAAGCTTTGCGCCTCGCGCTAAAAGCCTCCCGGTGGTAAATTATGACCTTGACGAAGAGCAAAGCTTCGCAGTTGGCTTCACTTTGACTAGCGGCGCTGCAAGCGTCGCTTCACTTCTGTAAATGAGTACTTTTGCGGTCTTCCTAGTCAACAAGTAGAAAACCCGCACAAGAACGCCTTGGCATATTTCGGACTCTTTCCCAGCACGATGAAGACTCGATGACTATGATGGGCCCTGAGCAGCAGTCAGCGCTCATGATTATGGACCGAATAAGTTGGTTACTACCGCCTCGATCTACCAGCCGGATGCAGGATTTCGTTGAGCCGTCGAATAGGGAGTTGAGTCGTTGTGTCTGTGAGTAGTCGAAGATGGATAGATCGTCGGAGGCGGTACCGGTGCATATACTGTTCGGCCGTTCAATTCGGTGCGGGTGTCTACACCTACCAGTAGGAGCTCTGCGTCTCTTAGACAACAAATATTGTCCCTTCACGAACCAGTATTAGGTGGGATGTGAGCGACGGCTTGAGGCTGAAGGTTGTAATCCAACAGACGAGTCTCTAATAGGGCCTGCAGGTCGCCACTCTCAGAGGATGCCACTCTATTTCCCCTCGTCGTCTATGTTGCGCTGAACCTAGGTTCCATCGTTGACCAAATCGCGGTGCACAGGGTGAAGATGATAATCTCGGTGAGAGAAGTTGCTGTCAGGTGATGGAAGCGGCTTGGATGCAGGGTAGACTTGGCTAGACGTTGACGCGTCCGACCCAGCTTAGCTCGCTTGTTTGTGCCGCGATGCCGGAGTGGTGCCGTAGTTCCGTTTGGGCTGCCGTGATTGCCGTGATAGCCGTTGGCGAACGCCTTAGCAATAAACTTTCCGACATGGTGGAGGAGAACCGGTGGAGGCACCTGCGATGACCTACATTGACAGATCTGATCAATCGATGTTTATTTTGTTTAAGGTTTGTGGGGAATATCACCACCGGGCAAAAAGGTTATGCGCACTAATAACACCACAACTTTCTTCACGTGAGGCAGTTGAATGTAGCGCAGCATTTGCACCATTAAAGCACTGTAAGAACTAAATGAGGCCTGCCTCCCAGAAGATCATTAAAAGCATGCTTCACCCTCGAGCAATTTTAAGGATGGAAAAGATCCAAACACCAAGTAAGCGGTAAGAGATGGCATAAGACAGTGTTGACAACACAATAGCAGTAGTCTAAAGTTATCCCATCAATGACCCAATTAGGGCTACAAGATATCAAACATCTCTCCCATCACAGGGGGCTCTCCAGGAAAGGCCATGGCATTTCTGAACACTCACTCGAAACATAGGCCAAGTCAACTTCACAGCGAGGCAAAATGAGAAATTGTGAAACAAGTCATGAGGATTATATTGTAGGTACATGCTCCCATGTCCATATGTACAGTGAAAAGCCAAGAGGCCAAGTGATGCGCATCAGCTTACACACCACAGAAAAGAAGTTTTCGTGGTTTCTTCCCTCCATTCTCTAACCAAAAACGAAGTTCACTCGCGGTCTCCCAGAGACAAAATATAGCTGAATAATCGCCATCAGAGCAAGCTGAGGGCGACCAAGACCGGAGCTCGAAAAGACTGGCAGCTCAACAAGCCGCTTAGCAAGCCTTGAGGGTGGAGTACTTGCAGGCGGTGCTGGAGCCGGAGCGGAGCTTCTTGGGCTCGTTGCCAGGGGTGGTACCCTGGAACTCGGTGCAGATCTCCTTGACGGAGGTGGCGCAGGTGCCGGTGATGGTGGAGGTGTCACCCTTGTTGGAGTTGATACCGGTGAGCATCTTGCCGTTGTAGGCCTTGACGTTCTTGACAACGACGGTGCGCTTGCCCATGGTCTTGCAGTTGCCGCAAGAGCGGTAGAGCTTGCCGAAGTCGACAACAGTGAAACCGTCGATGGTGACAGTACCAAGACCGTTGTGCTGGATGACCTTGTCCTCAGCGCCGCGGGCACCACTTTGAATGTAGTTAGTATTGGCCGACACTGAGTGGAGTTATGGGGTCATGACTTACCCGCCAATGACGTTGGCGTTGCCGTCGCCCTTCAGGGAGAGAGCGTCCTCGCAGACAGCAGTCCACCAGACGTTCTGGATGGTGCAGGAGCCCTTGCAGTGGACACCCTCGATCTGGTCGGCACCAATGATGGCGTTCTTAAGGGTAGCGCCGTTCTCGAGGATGAAGACGGCGTCCTTGTCGCCGCCCTCAGCCTGACCAGTGCACTTAACGCCACGGCCGTAGGTCTTCAGGCCACCATCGAAGGTGCCGGAGACAGCCTTGGCGGCCTTGTAGGTGACGGTTCCCTTGGAAGCGGGGATGGGGAAAGAGGCACGCTTCTCGATGGCGCCAAAGTTGTTAGGGCTGGTCTCAGCGCCGGGAGCGGCGAAGGCAGCGGTTGCCGAGATGGCAGCGATGACAGCGGAGAACTTCATTTTGAAAGTGGTAGTTGGTTTGAAAACACGGAGTTGGAAGAGTTGGAATGTATGACAATGAATGAATAACCACCAGGGTTAAAGAATGTGAGTAGTTGGATTGGTAAAGAGAGACTGTAGCGGAAGATGCTGATGAAGGTGAGGAATAGAGACAGTCCGAGTAGCTCGGGTTGTTGCAACCTTCTTATATCTCTGGTTTTGGGCAGAGTCTTGTTGGAACCTCTCCATTTGGCACACTTTCCCCTTCCCGCAGCAATCATCCTAATCTTGCGTCCCCTTCACGTTGCCAAGACGTTTACAGTGGGACCTGGAAGTTGGACAGTTCACAGTTGGATACAAGTATACAAGCTTTTACGCCTAGACTAGGTACGCTAAGACCCACCCGTGTCTTCTCAGTCCACAAGTTGGCCCAGGGTGGGCGCGAGCGTGAGTGTGCAAGAACGGCAGACTGCATTCTGACTGAGGTTCCAGGTTGATGGTGCTGGACTCAATCCGAACTGGCGTGGGTGGGGAGTTAAGAGAAGCGGGCTATTGATTCATTTCGGGTAGAGCCTTCCTCCCTGTCAATGTGATCCACCTTGCTACGAGCGAATGGTTCTGGCGCTTCGGCGAACCGTAAAGGCTACGCAAGAACAAGCAGTTTGGATGGTCAAGGGGCAGAATGACTGCCCAAAGAGGTTGTGCCATGACATGGGGAGGAAGGCTGTTGGGATAATCAATCTGCCCGTGGCTATGCTTAAGGGGCTGGCCCATGACGGTGCTGCATGGGAATCAAATGGATCGATGACCAAGTCGCCTTCACTTGCTGCCCTGCAAAACACGCTTACCTTGACTTGGCTCACACATCGTATTTGTCTAAAAGGTGGTGCTGTCTTCCTGGTTAACCATGAAACAAGTCAGGGGTTGTCACAAGGTTATTGCGCCAAGCGAGAGAATTAGACCATGTTGGGAAAAGAAGGTGGAGGGACCCCACATCGCTATTCTCTTTGTACAGTGGCAGATTTGGAGA